CACAGCCTAATTTTCATTTTTGGGTGAACTAACCCTTTAAGGATTCAGAAAATAAGTCAGTTTTAAGTAATGATTTAAATTCATAAATATTATTAACACAACAGAGTGAGCGGGGGAGAGAATTCCAGAGTTTTGGTGCAACAACACTGAATGATCTGCCCCCCATTGAAGAGAGGCAATGCCGAGGGATAACGAGGAGGCCAGAGTCCGAAGATTGTAGTGGCAATGCCGAGGGATAACGAGAAGGCCAGAGTCCGAAGATTGTAGTGAACGAGTCAGAGTGTAGGGGAGAAGCAGGTTACAAAGATATGGGGGAGCCAAGCCATGCAATGATTTGAAAGTGAGCAGGAGAATTTTGAATTTAATACGATATGCTACTGGAAGCCAGTGGAGATCATACAAAATTGGGGTGATGTGAGCAGAACGCTTGGTGTGGGCAAGTATTCTAGCTGCAGAGTTTTGAGTAATCTGGAAATGAAGCTGGCATGTAAACCAATGAAGAGGCCATTACAGTAATCACGGTGTGATGTAACAAATGCATGGATAACAGTTTCAGTGTCTTTAACACTGATGAAGGGATGGAGCTGGGCAATGCGAATGAAAGAATGCTGATTTGGTGATAGAGTTAATATAAGCCTGAAAGGAGAGAGAGGAATCGAAGATTTCACCTAAATATTTAATAATATATTTAGTAGTAGTTTGTCAGTGGTGACTATGTCAAATTGATGTACATATGGCAAAACAACAAAACAAAAAACACTAGCTTTCTATTTTTTCTATTCGATATTGTTTTTCTTTGTGTGTGTGTGTGTGTGTATGTGTGTATATGTGTGTGTATAATATCTATATCTATATCTATATATATATACACCTTGCTACATGTACTGCGTTAGGCTAACCGAGACTTGTCATTTGCACTTATATATTGTTGCTCTTTTGTTAGTTTTGACTGCTTTTATTGTCCTCATTTGTAAGTCGCTTTGGATAAAAGCGTCTGCTAAATTACTAAATGTAAATGTAATATGGCAGAAATGTATGGTAAAATTCAGTTAATGATGTAAACAGACGATGAACACAATTAACAACAATGATTATATGTTGCAATCAAACTTGTAGCAAAATTTGGTAGTTTATGTTGTTTCAGGGTTGGCATCATCTGAGGTCCTCTGAGGGGTTTGCATCATCTCTTCTCCGGTGTTCGGTCATCTCAGGTCTTTGTAAGGGCAGGATCCAGACTGAAGCGTGTGTAATTCCCATCCCGTTGCAGAAACAGAGAAACAAATAGAGACATAATTAGCGTAGCTGCTGTTCCAACCAAGCAAAAAATTATTTGTTCAACCCAAGCTAAGGAATAATAATGTGCATGTGCAAAATCAAGTTGCGTGAGTCGGAGGTTATCACGATAGATGACAGCGAGACCACCCCCTTTACCATGAAGTCAAGGTCTGGACAGATACTTATATCCTCCTGGTGTGAAAAGATTTAGATTTAGGCCCATCAGAAGAGCCAAACGTGGTGGAGACGAAACAGGGCAGAGGGCTCGCAGCAGCCCGATGGCAAACTTACAGACAGCAAAGATCCCTTTCAGTCAGTCACTCTCGATGTCACGTCAGTGACTGATGAATTGGGATCTCGCTTAGAGAGACCAATCCACTTCGAGTGTAAACTAAACGAGCCAATGCACATTAGCATGCGATGATTGCATCCAGCTGCCACTGATCACAGCGTGAGTATAATAGGGCAGCGGGTGCAACGCATACTCAGCTTTTCACTTCGGAGCCGAGTGGTCATATCGTTCTGCTCCTGACATATGCTTCTGAGAAAACTCAACGAGTTCGGCGTGCTCTTTAGAAGCTCTCATGTTGGCGGATCGGCGCTTCAGCGGCGGTGGTTTTTTCCCGTGTCGAGTGGGTTGCACACATCAGGCTGCACTATCCCCTGTTTGTGTTGCAGGCAGCCATCTCCCCTGTGTCGCTTCAGCACATTAAAAGAGCAAACTCTAAAAGAGCATTCATAAAAGATCATTTTTTAAAGACGAGTCTTTTTAAAGCAAAGCAGCGCCATGGAGCTGGTCGCAGGGCAGCCGCCCCGCCCGTCCAGGCCCCCGCCAAACCTGGTGGCAATCGGAAGAGCAAGAGGCCCTGAGACGGGCGACCCAGCGATGGAGGGAGCTGCTCTTCGGGAAATGGTGAACGCACCACTCCCTCCCCCAGAGGAGGGCCGGGCGGAGAATCTTTTGTTTCTTTTTTAAAAGAGCAGTCTTTCTCAATCTCTGGGTCCCCAGAAGGGACGGGGAGTTGTGGACGGGCCAGTCTCGGATCACACTCACCCTCCTCTCTTGCCAGTGAGCAGCTGTGGGCGGTTCGAGAGTGTGATCAAACATACTACTCACGTACTACTGTGTTGCACACACACTGCCTCCACTTCGGACCGACAATGAGACGCCCGGGCCGGGTCCCTGCGTTCCAGGGGTTAGGCTCCCACTCCTCAACATTGTGTGGGTAACCTGACAACATCTGAACTGGTAACATTCCAAGGACCTGTAGAATAATAACAGATATTGAGCCTTAGCAGTGACGAGGCAATTTCCTAATAATAATAATAATAAAAAAAAAATTTAATTCCCATAAATAAATCATATACAAATCTACTTTATGACACATGTTCCAAGTTCTAAGAAATTTACTTTTTGTATTAATGTTTTGTGTTTTTAAAAAATATTTATATAATTTTCCACAAAAAAAATGCAATGTAATGATTCTAAAAATGTCATGTGGTATCCACCAAGTAAAAATTTATAATATATTTTCGTTACACCATTTTTTCGTTACAGAATTTTGTTTTTCAAAATATTAATAAGCAGTGAAGCAATATTTCTTGTTAAAATATTTTTTTAAATAAAAATATTTCTAATGTCATGTGGTGAACCTACCAAGTAAAAATGTTTAAGTATATATTTTCCCGACACCATATGAGTTTTGTTTTTTAAACATGAATAAACAGTGAACTATGTTGAATTTTCTTTTTCAAACAATAAAATGTTGTATTATTTATTTATATTATTATTTATAGTATTTCTAAAAATACATGTAGACATTTTTTTATTAACAAATTGTGAATCAATTTTGTTTAAATATATATATATTTTTTAATCTTGTTAAAATATTAAATTGTTAACCTACTTCTTAAAAGTTTCTTATAAAAATTTGTATTCTTTTAATCAGGCTTTTTATTTCTTCAATATAATATCGGGATAGTTGTATCACGCTGACATTTTTTGCTTCACACTCTGGCATTTTAACTTCATTTTTTACTCCCAAAAAATGATCAGAATGAATATTGATTGTGAAATTAAAAACATGCTTATTATCAAAGAAGCGCATGTAACTCATTTTTACAAATTACTCAAAATTGATACTTATATAGTGCTACATCCCTGACCCATCTCTTAAAATAAAGATTATCTACTAATTATAGCTGTAATATACATTATGGTTTAACATACAGAGGCTGCATCCAGCTCGGCCTCTGGTCTCAACAGCAGCACACTCTGATCAATGGCCCGCACGGAGCACAAGGAGCCAGGGCTGGCTTTCAGGTTAAGAGATGTCCTCTCTCCAGGCAGTGCAGTGGGAGACGAGAACTTTAAGGACATCTGTAAAAGCACAGGCACACTCTCATCACACATTATTAATGATAAAACACACACACACACACACACATAAAAGCTTAAAAGGCACATTGAGTTCTAAAATAAGATTTCATTTGGGATTGTCTGACCTTGTTTGGCAAACATTCTTCAATGGGGAAATTCATACTGTCTGCTACAGCTTCTCCGTTGGGAAGAACTGTGTAAACCACCACCTGAGCGTATGGAGTCAGAGATGCCATCTTCTTCAGTGTGAATGTCAGCTCTCCTTTGTTTTCTTTTATGAAAGAGAGAGAGCATTTGTGGAAACAAAAAAGTGCATGCTGAAGCACAATGTACAAAGACCATATAAATATTCTTAGACAATAAGACAACAAAGTGATTGCTAATGTAAAAGAGCTGTGTACCTTTCTCAGCGTTCACTCTCACAGACAGACGACCATTTTGAGCCATGCTGCCTCTGGACAAGACCTGGAGTGCAG